CTGAAATATTAATTTTGAAAACTACTCGACGCCAGACCACGGAAACGCGTCCTTCTGCTAGAGATCACGACGAGCTGGAGAAGGGGAGTGAAATACGTGGGTCCGAGAGAGAAAAAGGGGAAGAAGAGGGGAGGACGCGTGAGTAACCCGTCTCGTGCATGTTAGATTCGAAGCTCCGTGGCACGGGCAGTTGTGCAAAGGCACGGCGCGGAGGTATCCGGCCAAACACTGGAACCCCTCCCTGTTACTATCCCATCTTTCTCCCCTTCTAGCATATTCCGCTCGACCGTCTTCCTTCAGATTCTCCCCTCATTTCCCCTACCGCGCGCGGATGCGTCGTCCCCTCTCTCTTTCCAGCATACTCGTGCCGTCTATCGGGCCTCTCGCTTCCTCGCGCGGTCTTTTCCTTTCTTTCCACAGACGAAGCGGGAGCACGCTGCCCTCGCTCAACTACCTGTTGTGACGTTCAACGCGCACTGGACGACGCACTCGGGACAATCGAAAAGATTCAGCGCGCGATCCGTGCGCCGCTGTTCACCGTGTGTACCCGGCGTACGTATGTGCCCTTCCTCTGCGGTCGTACGCCGTCTCCGCGCGCAAGAAAGTCTTCCGTTGGCGAAGCGTGTGCCAGATCCATGAGCCAGACTCGATGTTAAGCCGCGAAAGACTTGTCGCACACTCCCACTATCCGCTCGTTTACCGTCTCTCTTCCCCTCGCAGCGACGCGACAGAGCGAGGGGGAGGGAGACTCTCGAGAAGTTTTAGTTAGACTTCAGCAACGAAAGAGGGCATTCCAAACACATTTCAGATCTTACGCCAGGACAATATTGATTCTCCCGAAGTCCGATACCCTAGGAGCATGGATCGCGACGCTGATAAATCGAGATACTTTTCTGAGAAGGTATCCGGGTTGGACATTGTTTTTCAGTTGAACAATTGTTAGGTAAATGTGCGTTTGTAATGTTGTTGTTGTTTTTCTCTTTTATTTGCGGGATAGGTTTTCTGTATTGGAGACTAGATGATTGAACTTCAAGATTTCGGCTGTCCTGTTTGCTCAAGCCTGCTTCAAGAAGGTTCGCTTGAAATGTAAAGAAAACTGGTAACGAACTTAGTAAGTAACGAGCAAATATTTTGGTACACGATTTGTAGGCTGAATGGTTTTAACCGATTAGCGGTTGGTATTTTTATTATTTTCAATTGCTCGGGTATAGGTTAGCGTATATGACCGTTAACGATGTTCAAAAATCCAATATGTCGTCTTTTCGAGAACTAGTTCAAATATTAAACGACAAACGAAATGCACAGAATTAGTAAATCATGAGAGAATATTTAGAAAAGAGATATACTCTCTACAATCTTAAAATTCCAAGCAACCTATAGATTCCATGCAAATCTACATCATTATACAATTAGCAAAAAACAAATTCGATACAATTGCATCTCTCCATTCAAAGTATCGAACTTAACCAAAATTTCTCTTCCAAATTTCACGAGCTAAAGAAACTTTATTATCATTCGAACTTTTAAAACGAACGTACACTCACTATGAGTGAACCGTAGTCGGTTATAATTCATAACTATAATTTATTAACTATAGTTCGATTTGGTCGGGGGTCACCGGTGACCTCCACAGCACTCAATGCGTTAGCCATTCGCGACCGGTACAAATTTCACTGAGTCGTAAAATAGGAAAAATGCAAATGCCGTGCTCCAATGGTTAAAGTGCATAATAATTTCAAAAAGTTCAGGCTACATAAAATTAAATTCATAACAACGTGACTTATAAATTTCAATGTTATAACATTCACGTGATTGCCTCGCAATGAAAATGAATGCCACAGCATTCTCGTCGGCGAACGCGTTTTAATTCGAGTAGAAATTCATACGTGGCGCCAATGGCGCGTAGTAGCTGCGCTCGCCGTCAGATGTCGCGTTGAATCGACCGCCTCTTGTATACACGGAGTTTCCAGGCCCTGAACTTAGTCGCGCGCGGTGAACGTTCCGTCCTACCGTCGAATCTTCGCGCGCGTCCCGTCCGAGAGTGACAGTTCGAAAATCTCTTTTACCCGGAAGACAAATGGTATCGCTGGTGCCGCGGGCATCGTTAGATTGTCAACGGGGCGGTGGCACGCGTGCGTCGCGGGCCTCGTTAACGTGTCCCGTGCACAGTAACGAAACCGCGAAACACCGTGGCGATATCGCGCGAGGCGCGTTCGCGTGGAGGCTGAACTGGCGGTGACTGGCTCGTCCGCCGAGCGACACGGACTTCACGGTATAGCCGCGCACGGTCACGTGGCATCGGGAATAAAACGCGGTGAACAGTATCTCTCTATCGGCGATGTCAACAACCGGGCGCGGAGGAGAAGACGTCGGACACACCGCCTGAACCGCGAAACCGTCGCGTGGCCGTAGGTGCGCGCAAACGGTCACGAACTTTGTTTACAGTCGACCCGCGCGCCGTCCGTTCGGCACCGTTCCCTCTTCTCGTTTCTAATTCCCAATTCGTTATCTCTCCCCACGGGTTCCTTTCGTTCCGCTATTCGCCGCGGTCTATCGTGCGAACTTTCGAAAATTCGAAACCGGTGGTCGTCGGTCGAATCGGACAGTGAATGCAACAAACGCGATCCACGTGAACATCGTGCGCGACAGTGGTGCGACGGACGCGTGTGCGTGCTCGAATTAATATACATGTACACGTACGCACACCTATTCCACTACGTATATACATATACGCACACTGGGACCCGACCGGCTCCGTGAACTGATCGACGCCCGTTTCGAGCCGTTAGAGGAGATTGCGAATCGTGTGTTCGTCCGTCGTGTGGTTCGTGCGCAACAGGGAAGAGCGAGAGAAGAACACGAGTACAAGAGTGAGTGAGAGAAACAGAAAAGAGATATATAGAACAGCGAGCGAACGAGCGAGCGAACGAGAGAATGAAAGAGAACAACACGGAGAGCGAGAGAGTATGAGTGAGAGAGCGACTGTGTGCGAGCGAGAGAGCGAGAGAAAGAGAGAGTGAGAGTGAGAGAGGTGTACGACGAACGCGACATATTCCAAATGCGTCTTGACCGGAAGTTGAGGATCGTCGCATTGGCAGGGTGGCAGAGGATGCTCGGCTCGAGGGCAGCGGCGGGAGACGAGGTCGCAGCAGTAGCAGTAGCGCGCGTCAGGCGCTTCGATAGCAGGGGTTCTCACTGAGCTGGCTTACCCTGCGGTGGATTTAGGGGGCTGTATGGAGGCCGGGGGGCTCCTGCCCCGCCAGCCCCCGCAAGGCCCCCCCGGCACAGCGCCTGGTCAGATCTCGGTCTGCGTGGGCCAGGCACCGCCGAACACCGGCAACAACAATACCGGCAACGTTATCGGCCAATCGGCCGGCGGGATCCACGATCTGAACGCGGCCGGCCAGTTGAACGTGACCGGTCAACAACAGCTGCAGCTGCAGCAACAAATGGGTCAGGCACCTGGTATGGGTGAGGTGCTCACCCCCAAGAGACAGGCGGTCGTCGATCGTCTCCGTAGGAGGATCGAGAATTACCGTCGCAGACAGACCGATTGCATACCGAGGTTCGATCAGAGCTTCAACGGGCTCTGCGAGCAGAACATACAGGACACCCTGGTGCTGAAGCAACGATTCCTCGAGAGCAAAGCGAAACGGCAGGCGAAGAAGACTGATAAGAAGCAGAACGACCCGGTCGGACTATCCAGCGTTCACGTGGTGAGTCATTTGTTAGTTTTCCCTGCTGAGCCTCTCGTCGTCTGGGCTTCGTTTTCTTCCGTTCGGTACTGTTCGGTTCGGTTCGGTACGGTTCGCGCCGGGCACTGGACGTCGGTGCTGCCGCGCGCCGGTCGTCAACCTCCTCGCGGAACTTTTGTCGCCCCCTTACTCTCTTGCGCTGCGAGCGTGAACCACCCCTTTGACCGCGGCGCTGGGACCGTTGCAATTGTTACTTGAAATTCGATTTTAACCCTTTGAACGATGTAGGCTACGATATTGCACCAGGAATAATATTAAAGATTTTAATGGATCTTACAGAAACTACCCTAAAATTATTCGATTTTCCACTGAGAAGGAAAACGAAAGATCGAAGGAACGTTATAGAATTTCTCATTTTTGCTAGGAATACTATAACAATTAGTTGCAGTTGCTGATAGATTAACAACCTGGAGTGCTAAGGGTTAACGCGTTCAATGCCGTAAGGTCACCAGTGACCCACAAGCAGAAAGAATTACTATGGTTCACTCAATTAAACGATGATTAGTTGAAAACATTTGAATAGTAAATGATGCTAGCTAATGTGGAGACATTTAGCTAGATGAACATGCAATAATAACAGCAATTCAATCAAGTGATTTAATGTTTTTCTCCATTCCGAGTATTTTGTAGTATTAAATTCTGCGGCATTCAACTTAACTGCGAATGTTTTCAATTGAATCTTGCAAGGCAGTTTAACTATGTTCTTTGAAACTGGTTTCACCCTGGCATTGTTAATAACTGGGTCTAGACGTAGCTCTCAAAGACTCACCATGTTAGTTCAGAAAACAAAGTTCCAGAAACAGCCCCTATAGTAACATATTCCATATTTTGCTGGTTGCGTTGAATTCAGATTTCTTCCGTTTCGAGTGCTCTTATCTTAAAAAGATCAGAAGCCTCAAATCCGTATAACAGAAAATATTCAAACATTCCATAATTAACGGCTGATACACCAGAAACGCAATTTCCATTTTTATGCTACATTTTAGTCTCAAAAAGGAGTTCGTTTAAAACGTTGAAAGGTATCGGCGATAAGAATCCTAAGGGCATTTTGAAGTTCGGTCGGATCCGGCCGGATAACAGACGTTTCTGTTTCGAAGGTCGAGTCGCGGCGAACGCGATCCAGAAACGAAACTGCCTGGTATCACGCGATTGAGAACATCTAAGCCATAGCGTACACCGAGTAAGCGGCACTCGGCAACTTGCCGGGTCAAGACTCTACTACACAGGTTCGGAATCGAAGCGCGGGCGTAATGAAATACCACGCTCTTTACACCTATCGTACCGCCATTTGCAAACGATCGAAACGCGGTATCGCCGCCTGATAACGAGCCCCGAATTTTCTCGAGGCGCTATCTGTCCGCGTAACAACAGAAAACATTTCTGCCGAGGCGAGTTCGTTGAAAATATCAACTCGAGCTGGATACATCGAGCCGAGAATACAAAAATAAACCATTAGTCGATGATAACACGGCTCGCATCAGCTGTTTCGCAACAGTCTTCCTTTCGAAATCGAAGTCGAAGTCGAAATTCTTTCGAGGAAAACAGAAACGATCGACCGAGGATGACGCGTTCCGATTTAGCCTCGCAAGTTTCGCCTCGTCCGAACCGTCGCTAATTCCCGGATCAACGCATTTAGAATTGCCGCCGCGAATCGGTTTATATAATGGGACAATAGATAACTGGAATATTTTCTATGCCGGTGGCTTCTCCGAGATTCTTTCCCGAGATTGCCGCGTTATCGATGATTTTCTCTATCTTATCGGGACTTTTAATTTCACCGTTTTCCTCCGCGAAATGGGAGAGAGCGGACTCGGAACGACGAACGTTCGCGTCGCGACGACATTTTTTTCGGGATTCTTATTCCGCCGCGATTGCGCGGACGAGAGCCGAACGAAAACACGATTATGTTAAAATTTTCCTTGGCCCGTTTCGAATAACAAGCAGGTTTTCTCGGTTGCGCGCCAGCGTATCGTTCCGCTGGAAATTTCGATTAATCTCCCGCTTCTTTGTTTTCATTTCGATTCGACGTCGCACAGATTATCTGTTGAAGTTCGTTTAAAGTTTAACGATGTCTCTCCGCTGTCCGTGATAATCGACGCGCGAGTTTTGATTATTCGCAAGGATAAAATTCCTTATTTACGTGACCTCAGGAGAACAGTGGATGGAACGTTATCAAAATCGTGGATACGCGACACTGCCGAGCGACGCTATTTGTTGTGCAAACAGTCGCCGGTCGGAGCTGATTGTATAAAAAATGATTTAGAAACCTTGAACGGGGGACAGTAGTCGGCTGTGCTAGCAGTAGCTCCAAAAGAGACCGGTTTCGAGAGCCTCGGCACATCCGTTAGAACTTGGTCCGAACTTGTTTTGCATCTGAATTCAAATTTCTTCCGTTTCGAATACTCTTATCTTAAAAAGGAGATCGGATCGATGCCTGGAACGCGTATCGCGGAAACTATTCGAACGTTCCATAATTAACAGCTGCCGATACACCGATCAAACACAATTTCAATGTTCGCAAGATTGCTTTAAAAGAAGAAAAATGTAGATTATCAAAGATAGAAAACGGTAAATCAGTGTTAGCTCTCGCTGAAAGATACCGGTAGAAAGGAGCTCTTCGCGACGCGTCTCAGAATGTTCTCGGCGAACGAGTTGAACGAAGATAATAAGAGTTAAACGAAGCTAATAAGATTAATAATTGCGAAAAGAAGAAATCAGAACTCGCGTTGATCCGTCCGGTAGTTCTAGACGGCGAAATCTCGCGGAACACGAAAACCGGAGTTGATCGATTCCGCTCGAACAATGCACGGCTCGTATGGTGGTGTTTCCTCGCGGGGAGCGGCGAATGTTTTCGTCATTGTTGCCGGGCGCGAGCGTTACCGTCGTCTATAAAGGAAGGTGAAACAGGTGGATGCGCGAAGCCATTGGGGCGGAGGAGGCCTCGTCGGGGCCGTAGGCTCTGCCTACGTCGGGTTACCCGTAGGCGTTCGATTCGAGACGTTCCATATTAACCTTGGATTTACGTCAATGCAGGGGCGTTCCGCGGCGGTACGTGTAACGTCATTGTCACGAACTTCTACGCGATGCGTTTATTCCGACCTTCGTGAACGCTCGCTGACAACCTTTGCCGCAACGGGGTGTGAATTCTCCGCACGCTCCTTTTTAGTCGCTGCCCTGATACGCCCACGCGGATTTCTTTTTTATCCGTTGCAGTGGAGCTCAGGGTGGCTCGTTGCACGTCGGGGAATTACGCGGAATTACACGGACGATCGTTACGGAGGAGCTACGGCGACCGGAATTTTCGCGGCCGGCGAACGGACGTTTTCCGGGCGAAACTCGATCACTTAATGATAGATTAAAAATGCTTCGGGAGAAAGTTGTTGGGGAAAGCAGATTTCTTGAGATTCGAAGAGCTTATTGTTTTTGAAATGCAGAATTTGGAATTTCTCGCGAAAGCAACTTTGTCTTAATAGTGGCGGAATGGTATTGTCGGCCATTTTGAATCGTTTGGAGGTTCTAAGGTTAAACGTTGTAAATTGAATATTGGAGATGTTGGAAACGTGTTGTTTATTCCTGGTAGGATGTTCCGAAGAAATTGGTTTTTCATTGTTCACGATTGGAGGACTGAATATTATTTAATGGAAGTGTTGTGTGTTGTAAATAGTATCGAGAGGGAATGATTATAGAGGAATTGTTCTTTCTAGGCTAACTTCGTCACAAGAAACTGCGTTGCGACTAGCTCGGCTTGCCTCTCGATACAGCAGCGTGGCTGTAGGAATAATGCATTGATGCGCTATTTACAGAACCGATAAGCGATAAATGTATCTGTCGCACACGCGTCGATGTAACGTCACAGAGTGCCGGTTATCCTTTCTTTACTCGCGTGGAAAATTAATTCCTTGCTCGTGATATTAACCCTTTGCACTCGAGGGGAGACTCTCGCTCACCGCTTAATTCGATATACAAAATTATACAATTTTATATATACTATTCAATTTCGTATGACGCATCGATACGCGAAATATCGGAACAAAATAGCTTTCTTACTAACTTACGTATGTTTTATTACTTAGTTTGACAGTATGTCGTCTATATTTTATTGAAAATGTTGAACATATCTACTGAAAAACATTCGACTGCAAAGGGTTAGGAATATTAGTAAGTGAAACTACTTCACACGAAGAATCGCAGGGATTTTGTGAGCTCCGTGGAAAGCTTCGTTCGATAATTGGAGCGCAATCACATGAAAATTTCGTTTCTCGGAATGATATAAATGATTCCTGCTTCGTTACATGCTACTCGATGATTCCCCGAGCATGAGGCTCGCGTTATTATTCGAAATACTTTCAACACTTCGGCCGAGCGAAGAATAAAGACCAGTTCTTTATCTTCTTCTTCGTGTCTTCTCGATTTCTTCTTTTACCTTCGTTTCTCTTGCTCGTCTCGTTCTCGGCTTCAAAGTCGGAATTGAGTGCTCCGTTTAATCTCGATTTGAGGCCTCGAACAGCATGTAAAGTAACGAGTTAATTCCAATTTCGATTCAGACGAGGCAGCGTAGTTATTAATATAGAATTCCGTTCGCTTCGGCAAAGCGGTGTAAAAATATATCGGGAATGCGGTGGACGGTCTGTGTACAGTCGCAATCGTATCGATAATTCACCTTAGCGTCGATCACGATGGTCCCGCGTTATCTGCCGATGGACTGCGATTTTTAGGTGAAATTAATCATCCTTTTATCGCGGCCGGATTATCGTTGCGCGTTTCGTGTCACATTCCTGCCGGTTTCTGTCTCATTAATATCCATCTTCCGCTTTCGCTGAACGTATTATCCCCGATCGAAATATCTCTGGGTCTATTAATAAAGATCCCGCGACCGTCCTCTCTTTTCCGAAGCGGCGGAGGTGTCTTCGAACGATCTTCGATCCTTCGGCAGCGCTGCGAGCCTCGTTTTCATCGCTACT